GCCCCCAGCAGGAGCGTCGGAAGTTCAAGAAGATGAGGCTGGCACCTCCCTAAAGAATTCACGGTGTTGTGGCTGGTTGGCTTTGGAAATTGGGTTCAATCTGGTGAGATTCTGTCTTGAGGTGGAGGCTAATAAATGCAACAGAACTGTATTTGCATTGTCTCGTGGAGTTCTTTGGGCTGAGCCTGACACTGCCCTTTGGAACACTCAGGATGGCCCCAACCCTGCTAGCCTTTCGTAAGGCTTTAAAAACTTGGCTATATGCCCGAGCCTGGGATCCCAAAAGTGTTAAGGGCCCTGTTACCTGGTTGCACTGTTGATTTTTATGGAATTTTTATGATAATGATCAGCTGCCTATGTATGTAATTTGTAATTGTTTTGATGGCTTTAATTATTGAAATTGTTCCCCACCCAGAGTCACTTGGATTGAGATGGGTGGCTATAGAATTGCATAGATAGATAGATAGATAGATAGATAGATAGATAGATAGATAGATAGATAGATAGATAGATAGATAGATAGATTTCATCTAGGAGGCTACAACATATATCCCGAATTGTATATGAGCACATACATGTGGGCTGGGTATGTGGCAAATAGTTAACGTTTGGGATAATTTAATTTGGATTCCTCCACTGAGACAGAGTTGGATTCAACTCTAGGATTCTATGTAATACTAGCAATCTGATGTCTTAACCTGAAAGCTAGATATAGTCATTTTTTGGGAACATAACTTTAAATCAAGATAAAACACTGGCTCTTTTGGTCCCTCATTACTAAAACTAATTTTTAGCAGCATTTCAGGGATTAAGTAGGAGGTTTGCAACTCTACCAGTTGATGCAAAGAACTGATCTTTTATATCATTATATAAAAGTACTCATCACACTCAACTTGGTTTTTATTGTATTTTTTTAACCTAGTACACCATCTAATGTTTCTCCAGCTTAGGACTGTCTACACTACTCTTTATACAAGAAAACCAAATTATCCCACTGAAGATTATATAGTCATAACTTGAAAATCATTTAGGCATTTTCTCTTTTCTTCCCTTTTAATTTTTTACCATCTTCTCTGATGTAGGGCAAAAAGCTTGCACATTGTTTAGTGAATGTGAGTTGCTGTAATAGAAGTATTAGCCAACACAGATATGGGATTTTTAATATTTGTAAAATATGGTTGATTCAGAAGTTATATGAATCATGTTTCTTGTTCACCTTGCATGGATAGCTCCTATGCTATGAAATTATTATCATGTTTATCTGGGATGTTCACAAGTCACTCAATAAAGTCTTCCCTTTCCTTGAATTGAGGAAATGTCTCTTCACACATAAATAGTAGATGGTTGAGAAACTGGGTAAGAGGCGTCAGAGAGAACAGAATATATTTCTATCTGATCCAAAATAATATTTCACATATGGTATTCATTGACCTCCCTTCTACTGTTATTTATATTAGACAATCATCTTAGAACTGAGCAGTGTGATTTAAAGGCATATTTTGTAATTATTTTGTTCAGACATTGACAATTCAATTCAAAAGCCTCTTAAAGCTGCAGGACTGAAATAGTGAAGATGCATTTGTAATAGATAAATAGTTTCAACAATTTTAGATAGCTGTGAAAATATGAGTGACAGTTTCAAGAACAATCAACAGGTATATTTCATCCTCTTGGTCTTTCCTTCTTCTTTTTAGTGATGTTTTTAATTAAGGTTTTATGTATTTATATATTTCTTTTCTTTTTCTTTATTATATTCTTTCTTTT